TCTCTCTCTCTCTCTCTCTCTCTCTCTCTCTCCTCTCTCACTCTCTCTTTAAAAAAAAAATATAAGATTTATAACTATAAAACTCCTAGAAGTAAACTTGGAAAAGCCGTAGAACTCTGGCATTGGCAATGATTTCTCAGATATAACCCTCAAAGCAGAGGCAAGAATGGACAAGGATTGGAACAAACTAAAAAACTTCTGCACAGCAGAGGAAATCATCCAGAGAGTGAAAAGGCCCCTATGGAATGAATCATTTTTCTTTCTTTTTTTGGTGTGAGTCTTTTCGCACATGCTAAGTATGTGCTCTACCATTGTGGCACATCCCCAGTCCAGAAATTGGAGAAAATATTTGCAAACCATACATCTGATAAGAGGTTAATAGCCAAAATATATAGAAGAACCCCAACTGGGGCTGGGGTTGTGACTCAGCGGTAGAGCGCTCGCCTAGCACAGGCGAGACCCGGGTTCGATCCTTTGCACCACATAAAAATAAAGGCATTGTGTTGTGTCCATCTACAACTTAAATGTTAAAAAAAGAGTTACCAAAAAAAAAAAAAAGATCCCTCAGTATTTTTTTTTTCAAACAGAGAGAGAGAATTTCAATATTTATTTTTCAGTTTTCAGTGGACACAACATCTTTGTTTGTATGTGGTGCTGAGGATCGAACCTGGGCCGTACGCATGCCAGGTGAGCACACTACAGCTTGAGCCACATCTCCAGCCCAAGATCCCTCAGTATTACATCAGATCTTTATCATGGCTGATATAAAAAAAATTTACAAAATCTAGAGCTGGCTTGACTCAGCCTCCTGAGTAACTGAGATTATAGATATATACCACCACAAATGGCTTTTTTTTTTGCCACAATTAAAAGATGAGAGAGATTTTATTTTTAATATTCTGGGAAATTATTTTGAGATGAAATCTAGATCAAAAATTATCTCAAAAAAGTCTAGTATTTGAAGATGTCCCAGAATTTAGCAATTATCAAAAAGTTGAGAAAAGGGCAGATAATCCACAAGAAAAATAGGGAAATTACAGAATCAAACAATTCACCAACATGAAAACCTATATGGCCAATAAATTCCAACCTCATTAGAACTTAGGGAAAATAAAAAAATACAGTGAGAGATCATTTCCCATTTATAAGACAGACAAAACTTTATGACACAGGACCACACTAAATTCTAGAAGAAACATAAAGAAACAGGATCTCCCATATACCACGACTGGAATATAAACCAAGATGGCTGCTAGCCAAAGCCAGCTGACAATACCTCATAAAGCAGAAAGGACTGATGATGCACACATAATGACACAGTAACTTCATTTCTGTGTATTTTACCTAGAAAAATTCTAACAGGAATACAAGGAGACTTGTACAAGGATATTCACTACAGCACTGGAGTGTTGTTTATAATAGTATAACCCCAAATGTCCCAAAACCCATAAGTAAGGAAATGGAAAAAATATATACAGCAAGTTAAAAAAAATAAATTAGCTCAGTTTGGTCTTAATCTCAATATATAACTTTGGAAAGAGAAGCTACAGAATGATAAGATTACTTACTGTAATACTGTCTTAGTCTGTTTTGTATTGCTAAACAGAATACCAAGTCTGGGTAATTTATAAAGACAAGAAATTTATTTGCCACAGTTCCCAAGGCCAAAAGTACAACACCCAAGTACCAGCATCTGATGGCAAGAGCTTGGTACATCCCATAGCAGAAAGCGGTAGGGCAAAAGAGCACAGAAAGAGAGAGTGGGCCAAACTTGCTCTATCAAAACCCACTCCTGGGGCTGGGGATGTGGCTCAAGCGGTAGCGCGCTCGCCTAGCATGCGTGCGGCCCGGGTTCGATCCTCAGCA